AAAAGCAAATTCTACGAAGTTTAGGACAACACTTTTTTAATTATAAGAGTAATAAACAGAAAATTCTAATTACTACCAACTTACTTTTGAATATGTGAGATATTGTTTCTCCTTATGTAAATAGTCGTGTTCCATCCAGCCATGACGAAAAAAGAAAAACTAAGTATTGATGAAATTTCGTAGAATGGGCATATAACAAACTGTAAATTTCTTGAAACTCGAAAATCTCGATCTGTGTACGCTATTGACAGCTCATATTTTAAACTAGTTGATCTGTGAGTAAGAGTATTCATTTGATTCGACTATGACCAATCTTCTTAGTTTGCAGTTACATAGTCTTCAATTGTTAGTTACTACAAAAAAACTAGCAAAAGACATCTAGTGTCGAATTCTTTTACGAAGCCCAAAACTCTGCTTACGAAAAATATGCGCAAACAAATCATATATGTAAACTATGCAGATGAAAAAATCTTACGAAAAATAATAAAGGTTATAGAACATAAATTCTGTATTATTTGTCAAGTTTTCCTTTGTTCAAAATTCCTTCAATAAATGTTTGTGAGCTAAAATATGTCTACAAAATCATTCAAAAAAATAATCAGCTTTCATTCTTAAGTTCAGCAACGCAAAAGTTTGCTAATATATTAAAGTATTCGTCAGTGGCTGCAGAACTCAGAAACTACAAAAGATTAAAAAAGGAAAAAGAAAGTAGCGAAATACAGATCTATAATATTAATGAATTATAGTTGTAATTAATTTCACTAGTAAACTAACCATCTAAAAACGTTTGGAATTCGACAAAACTCAGAAAAAAGTACCAAAATCAGAAAAATCAGAGGATCAGAACAAAGCCGAGAAAATATTCATATTTCAGAACCTTTCCTGACTTTTTAGAAGATCTGGCAACTCTGATTTTAACTGTAAGTTTGAGTGAACATGGCATTAATTATATTGGGAAAACACTAACCACGTAAAGATAGAAAATAATAGATAAAAGAGACAGGAAACAAAAGAGCACAGATCAAGAGGACACACATGAACATATGTATGTGTAGATATATATACATATAGAGTGACGCATAGAAGAGAAAGGGAAAATCCGATGACGTATATGTGGAAGCATAAAGGAAAAAACCAAGATGTGAAATGACATAGTTCGTAGGAACAATGTCTATGTGTGCTGCACAGATACATATTTGATGGATCTTCAACATTAACTTATGTATTTTTTTTACGTTATTAGTATTTTGTTAGGTCCAAACAAGTTTTGAAATATCAATAAAAACATTGCTTATTTCCTCCATCTGTTTTTTTTTCGGCACAAGAGAAGTTTGCCCATTGGCCTAAAAATTCTGGTTACGTCGCTGCACGGTTGCCATATACACTTATGAAGGCTCGATTTATTTTATGATGTTTCTTTGAAATTATTTGTAACATGTGGTGTAACCAAATTGATAAGCTTTTTAATCAAAGATGATTCGAAATTACTTTCAAGAAAATTTCTTGAAATAACCCATGTCGCTTATTTTTTAGCAACTGCGACGCTTTAACGCCGCAGTGGGGATCGTATTGCAACCCAGTAATTACGAAAAATTGCGACGCAGTTACGCGCAATTGCGAAAAAAAATCGCACTTACTTATAGTTCCGATGAAAAAAAGACAGTTGCGCGTAACTACGATTTTTTTTCACAATTACACGTAACTGCAATTTTTTTTTCAATTGTACGTAACTGCGTCGCAATTGAAATCATGGGAAGCTGATTTTGCGTGGGCAAGCGCAGGCATGAATATTAGTCAAAATGTTTGTTGTAGAGAGGTCCAAATAATTTATAGCAAAACTTTTACGATATTCTAATTCTGAAATAAAATATTCGACTACGTAGCAGCTATGAAAATTGTTTCAATATTTCTTTCTTTCAGTGAGTTTTGTTGTATGTTTTATCGCAGGAATATAATTCATCGTTTTTGTGAAACACGATCTGAAAGGAGTGTTGAAGTGTTTAGGGGTAGAATTTTGGACCCACTCCCCCCTCCCCCACAGACCGTGACAGACACACACGCGACCCATCACAGACCGTGACAGACAAGCTTTTGACCCATCACAGACCGTGACAGACAGGGTTCTGGATCCATCACAGACCGTGACAGACAGGCTTTGGGCCAATCACAGACTGTGACAGACAGGGCTCTGGACCCATCACAGACCGTGACAGACAGGCTTTGGACCCATCACAGACCGTGACAGAGAGGTGTCTGGACCCATCACAGACCGTGACAGA